GTTAAAGCATCTGTATTTTTTTCTAGGAAGAAAAGAGAGTAGATTTGCTCTTTTCATTTTATGTCAAATAGTGAAAATTGCTTTGGAAAATCACTAAAAAAAGAGAACTGAGTCTGTATCGATTATCAGTTGTATTTGATAGGAACAAGGAGTTCAGGTTTTTGTATGAAAGGAACTGTTTTAAAATTTTTATAATTTTTCAACTTTTCAACAGATGACATTACACATTTTCAGAAAGCAGATTCTGTAAATGACCTAACTTGCACCTAGGTTGTAAACAGATCTAATTCTGTCCCTCAATACAAATCTTAAAAGAAATCTCAGGAGGATCTTGAAGACGCCATTATAATCGAGATACCTGATTGCTGGTAATGAATTTTATAGGTTACCTGCTTCCTTTCTCCTATCCAGTGTTGATTATCATCATCAGAACAAGCAAACAGAGTTGAGCGGTTTGTGGAAAAACCCTCTGAGATTTGATTCCATATCGACTCTGCACAGACTGGAAGGTCTAAGTATGACTTGAGAGTTTTGCAAGAAATATGGATTGTGTGGGGTTCTTTTGATGTGCTTTATCTAAATACTTAACTCATCCTTCTATAAATTCAGTCATGCCAGCCTTTGTGAAATCCCTTGCTGCTGTTCAATCGTCTTATTCAAGCAGGGATGTCCCTTGGCATCACATCATGAAATGATAGAGAAGAGAGAGTGTGTTTGCTCCTGTCATTGAGAGCCTGCTCTGATGCTCTTTCCTGCTATTAATGAATTGTATTACAAATTAAATCTTGTGTTAAAATACAATTTCTATTAGATCTTGAGTTTAGGGCTAATTTTGTCATTGCAGAAAATTAATCAGACTTTGTTTTGTGGTACCCACCTTCCCCAAATGAAATACTTCTTGTTTTGTCTCATGCCAGATAAATTGTGTGGGACAAAATTGCTTTTGTAACCTAAAGAATTGAGGAATATTAAATTCTGCTTGTTGTTTATCGTGCTCTTTTAAAAGCCCCAGTGAAATTATCTTAATTGCAAACTTTTGCTTTAGACTCATGGTCTGTCTGTGCATTGGTTTCATTACTTGCTGTAGTTCTCCAGTAAACTCCTGGGTGGATTTACAAGAGTGTATTCACTTAAAATACTCTGCCAGATTATTCCAAGTTGCATGGCATTCTAGAAACACTGTTTTTATTAGCTAAGTATAAAATTACAGACTCACCTAATAAACACCTGTAAATTGTAGAATACAATATTGCTTTGCTCATGCAGCAGTAATTGTGAATAGGCAGTACTTATGTACTGTCAGCAGTAATTGAGAATAGTCACAGTACTTATGAATAGGCAAAATAGTCTATTTATTTACTAAAGCCATCATTTTCATCTTATATCTTTGTTTTAGGACATGATTTACAAATTGCCAGCTTTCCAGAGGGGAGTCTCCTGTGAATGGATTTCTTTTAAAACGTTTCCCCATTGTAGAACAGAAGCCCTGACAAAACTTTTAACACGAGAAAAGCCCCTTATCTTGTGCTCATCTACAAAACCCCACCTTTAATCTCAGTGTGTGTTGTTGTCAGTTCTCAAGCTTCTTACAGTGTATTAGAGAGTGTCTTACTGGTGTCTTCTGTAAAGAGAATGTACTTCTTGCAACAGCAGTAGGGGATCTGGATAATATTTCAGAGGGTGATGTGGGAATCTGTCTGGCATATGTGATGCAGTCATACCCATATCCTGGAAGAGCTTGCATGCTGTCGCTGACTTCCCTCTGTCTCCTTTTCCCTTGGCTCATTGTGCAAGGCAAATGTTGTCTTTGTGGAATGGTGAACTTTTTTTTTTTTTTTTCTTTTTTTCTGTGTGTGTGTGTATGTCGTTCTTTCCCATCTGAGTGATGCTTTTGAAGTAGTAATGTAATTCCCCCTATCGATATGTAGGACTTGACATTGCTTCTGAAAGCAGCTCTGACAAATGCTATAGATGGTATCGTCACTGGGCAGGGAGACTTGGATAGTTCTCCGTGTGCATCTTTGTCCTAGTGAGATTGATAAACTTTAGCCAAACCTGGAGGAAATAGTGTTGGGCTAATAAACATGTTGCTCACCAAACAAACATGACTCAGGACTCAGGGTCATATACCTTAAAAGCTTTGAAGCAGCCTATCGTAAGGCAACCTGCATCCTTTGTAGTCACACTTTTGTGTGTCACTGTCGGTAATGTTCAGGCAAATATTGCTATCCTTGTTTGTCTTTTTGGTTTTTTTTTTTTTTTTCTCATTTTTCTTACTAGGGAGAGAATTCTGATCCAGAAGCATGTAATTACTTTCTTTCGATCATGTTTGCTTTCTTATTGAAGACTGGCATTACACAGTGTTCCTCCAGCCCGCAAGTATCAGTTCTCCTTTCAGCAGTGTGTTAATATCTGAGTGTTTGATAGTTCCCTTCTAAAATATTATACAATCCTGGAGTGCCCGTGGCAGCTTTTTCCCATGCTACCTGGAGACATTAGACCCCTTGTTCCTCTGGATTTCAAGGTTGCTGCCTCCTTTGAATCCATTCATGATGTATTTATCATGGCCCTGGAAAGCCATGGACAGTCAAGCCAATGCGAAGTGCTCTTCCTCTTTCCCAATGATCTATTATTTGTTACTGTTTAGCAGGATTTACTGCTTTATCTTGTATTTCTCAAGTTTGTTCTTCTTGCTGTTGTTCTTTGCATTGTTCCTTCCTGTCTCACCCTCTAATCTGCACTTCCACAACAATTTTGAAAGTTCTTGTTTTGCATGCTGTCTCTGCAGGGCTTAATTTATTGTTTTGTGTGTATTCAGCATGTTTTGTTATCTCGGTCCATTTCTATCTTGAGAGGAAAGTGGTGGGGTTTTTTTTGCTGATTTTTCATTTAGATCTGTCTTAAATGTTATTCCAAATTTCCTGCATGTTTTACTTTGACCTTCCAGAATTGCTGGCAAGACCCTTGAGGATGCAAGCTCCTGCACTCTGCCAACTCGCCTTCCTTAAAGTTCAGGAACCTACTTTTTCATCTTCCTTTTGACCTTATAGGATGTCTCTGAGGTTCCTATTTCTGGAGGATTTCTTCTGCTGTGCTATTTCATATCATGACCTTCTAATTGGCATTGATAAAGTTCAAGGTTGCTTTTTCACATATTTGTCTTACAAAAGGAGTGAGTTGAGATGAAACAACAAAAAACAGGGCTCGCAGGGCTTCAATACAAGAACTAGCAAACCCCCTTTTTAAGGAAATAAGGCCTGTGAATAAGATCTTTTTGCCCAGTCAAATGCAAATTTGATAGCAGAGTTATAAAGTCTGAGAGATGATGTTTGTGCTCCTGTCGTACAGTTCCTGTTGGAAATTTGTTTCTTGAATCTTCTTCCTGTCTTTGCCGGCTTTCCCGCAACATACTCTGTTCTGACATGAATGGTGGTGGCTGGAGCTGTTTGATGTTCGGTGCCAACAGTTCGATGTTGAGTCTGGGATATGAGTTTAATGAACATTTTTTGTCAGGCTGTTTTCTTTATTCGTTCACTGGATATTCTAGTAAAAAACCTTTAATGTTAAGTCTGTTGTACACCGAGCCTGCTGCTTCCTTAGATTTACTCTCACTTGTCTCAGCAAGACAGGAAAAAAAATCATGCAACACTGAGCGCCAGGAATCTATTTTCATGAATAGCATCCTGTAATGATACCGACTATCCCCTTTCAGTCTTTCATTATGGAGAACATACATGTCTTGTTTTGCTTTGTTTCTGAAAATCTTTGATGGCTTTTCTTTTCCTGAGAAGCCTTTGGCATCTTGTGCTGGACCACTCCATTTTGCCACACTTCGCAATCCACAGCCCACATGGGCAATTTCGAGATGCTCCCAAACAGCTGGGCTGCAGTTACTGCAATTCCTCAGTCAGATGAAAGTTTAAAAATACTGGTTCAAAAGATTCTGGAAAATTTTTATATTTCACATTATTAAATTATTCACAGTTGCCCGCATAGCTTGGCTTCCTTAGTCTGAAGCACTGGTTGTGTTAGCAGGGACTAGTATTGCTTAAGTAGCGTTGGCTACAAAATGCAGATGTATGTCTGCAGGGATGAGTTGCCAAGATGTGAATTAAAAGGAAATGGGAAGCTGGATTCCAAAGCGATTATTTTATAAGCTTTAGTGATGTCATTAGTATTCATGAAAGTTTAACTTTATTGGGGATATAGACATCTTCTGAGCATATTTTGTAATAATTTTACAGAAGATGCTTAGAAGTGTTTTATGACTAAGTACTTAAATCTTTTTTTTTTTTTTTTTAATGCTTTTTACTGGCCATCTTGAACTGTCTTCAGAAATTCGAAAGAGCACTGATGAGGAGTTTGTTCAGCCATTTATTTATACATGTCTGCAACATGCAGAACTTAGTGTGCTTATTATGCCATGAGTAATTACCTAACCTAGTAGTGATCCTGATCAGAGAATTGAACAGAGACATTTAAATTCAATTTGGATCAAACATACAAACACTTATATCTCTGTTAGATCAGTATATTCATTTTTGCTGTTTTGTGGTGTAAAGCAGTTTCCTCAAAGTAATTTGAATATGACTGGGTTTTATGTTTTCCCATTCTGTGTTTTTATGACTTTTTCTCTTTTTGTGCTGAGGATTTTTTTAGAGGCCTTTCTGGAAATGGTTGCTTGACTTTTTTTTTTAAACTTTTCTTTTTCCTCTTTTCTCTCTAGATAAAGTCCTCAAGTAGTCCAGCATGAAACTAGATTCCTTTTGTCCAGAAAATGTGTATTATCAGTACGGACTAATTTCATGTGATCCCTGTGTATGTCTTTGGGGCCTTAGTTTAATTAAAGAAGCCTTAGAAGAAGGTATGAATGGCAGACGGTTACATCTGACACTTGTGCACACTGGTAGACTAGATAAGCAGGAACAGATATGAAAGCTGCCTTCTAAAGTATGAGTTTTTGATTGCGTATTCTGATATGTATTTTTTTTCTCTTTCAGGTATTCACTTATAAACAGAACACAATCACACACCAGAAAGTAACGCCTATGCATCAAACCAGTGCAGAGAGCGTGGAAGACATGGCCGCACTAGTAGATCTCCATGAAGGCTCCATCATGCACAACCTCTTCCAGCGATACCAACAAGATAAGATCTATGTAAGTTTCTTCTAAAATTAAGAAAACTACCCAGAGGGAAGTTTTTTGACTATGTAACTACTCTGTGTGTTTTGCTGTTCTGTGGTGTCTCCCTTCTTAACAGTCTCCAAAATTCTTCACATATTTGCATAGTGCTGAAGTGTGCCTCATCTAGTAACTTCTCTCCAACAAAAATGGCTAAAGTAGCCCAGGGCAGACAAGGCAACCCCTTGGAAATATTTTGTAACTGGAATAATATACACCTTTTCAGTCACAGAAATGTGTAAAGGTTCCTCTCAGCTCTGTAGGAAAAGTTTTTGTAATTAGATTTATCTGTTTTAAAAAGTTTTCATTGCTCATGAACTGACTAGATTCTCATCTTTTCTGAATGTAAGAATAGATTCAAGTCTTTTCTGAATCTAGGACTACACTGAATGTAAGAAGAGTATAGGGAGCATGAGTGGTTGTGAAATTTCACTTTGCAGTTGATCAGTGGTTTAATAAAAATAAATTAATTCCATAATTAAAAAACAAATTTTGTTCAAATGATCTTTCAAGATCCTTAGTTTAGCCATCTATATACAACATCCTGGGCTTAACCTGTTTTATTTGGCTTCTTAATTTTTAAACATAAGCACATCTTAAAATAAAATTCTCCTTCTTTAGATTTTTAATGATAAAGAAGCAAATTAGGACACAAATTAAAATTGGGAAACAAAGAAATTTAAGAGGGCTCATGGTGAGAATATGAAGTGTTGCGCCTATATTTAATTGTCATTACAAAAGTCTTTTTTTTTCTCAGAATAAACCATTTTGCCTTTCGGAAAAATGAGCAAGCAAAAATTGATTGCCAATATTATACCATACACATGTGCAGGAAAAAAAAATATATTGGTAGCAGTTTGTTTTTCTGCTAGGGTTATAAGAATATAATACTCAATGTGAGTCAAAATAAAGCATTCTGTTTCCTGAGCAATTACATATACTCAGAGGTGGGACACGAATGTCCTACATCCCTTTCGTCTTTTAAGACCTGCGCGTGTGGAGGGGCAGTGTTTTAGAAGAGCCAGAGCATAGCTTTGTTCTGAAGAGACACGTGGAGTTGCTCTCCCGGCGTGTTGAGGCAGGCTCTGGGTTCGCTGGTGCTCGGGGCCGTGTGGGGTTTACATTACTTGACAAACAGGTTTGGGTGCTGTTAGCAGTGACAGATCCCGTGCTGCTGATATTCTTGTCCCTGCCATTTCATTAATTTTACTACTTTCTCTTTGGGGTAGAGCTCTCCTGAAAAAGCAGAGTGACTGAGGGAGAAAAGAAAGGCGCGTTTTGAAGTTCATGTGAGAGAGTCTCTCTCGTCCTGCATATGTAGCCAGGACCTGATGTAAGAAGCATCATCTTTATTCTTGCCCCATTATTTTCGCTACCCCACTCCTGATGTGCCAGGGGAAATGTTTGAGCAGAACAGGGCTCCAGGAACAGAGAAACAGGAGGAAAAAAAAACAAAACAAAATAAATCAAGCAAACAACAACAAGAAAAAAAAGCAGATTAAATAACTTGAATAGTTTTGTGAAATGTTTCTAGGTGTAGGGATATGTGTTTTAGGAGGAGGTATGGTAGGAAGAGTCTGCAAATGAACTATGCTTCTCAAATCAGAATGAAATAACTATATTGATCAGTTCAATAATTTAATGTTTGATGTTATGAAAATAATATTATAAATATTATATTATTATATATGATAATAAAATATAATAAATAATATAATGCATAAAATATAATAATATTATCAAAATAGTAATAATAAGAAGACTAAGAGGAGAAAAAATGGCCTTACCCTACCAAATCCATTCCCGCAGCTAAAGGAATGAGGATTCTGGACACTCTACTTTGGGACCCAACTTGCTTGAATAAAACCAGAGAGACCATTGGAGTTGGGGCGAGGAGCATCAAAATTTTCCAGAATATACCCCCCTGCCTTTTCCCTTCCTTCCAAAAATGCCCTCTCCCATGGCCAGTAATTGCTGTGCCAGGCTAGTGTACGTATTGTGTGCTGTGTCCGTCTCAGCATTTTGAAGGTATCTCTGCCTTGTACCTCGTAGGTAACCCAGGAAGGTAGGTGCCTCTCAACACTCCAGGCTGGCCGGATAATGACCCTCCTGAAAGACTTTTCTCCCTCCCTTAATGTAAATCACTGTGTAATTGCCATGTCTTGGCTTTTAGCTTATATATGCTTGTCATTGTGCCCATATTTTCCTCTCGTCCGTTGTTCACCTCCTGAGAGACAGAAAATGTACTATGTATATATTCATAAAATATGAGTATATGAGATGCAGCTGTTCTGGCTTTTTAGTGGTAGGCTGGCACTTTTAAGATATGTATTTGAAGTACTACAAATGTATTAGTGTGGTTCTTGAATTGTTTCCTCGATGGCAATGAAACTGGGAAGCACCTTTGTGCCCTTAATGAGGAACGAATGCCCTTAATTAGGATGTGGATTTTACCCTAAAAAAAAAAAAAAAAAAAAGATAAGTAAACTAAATTATAGTCTAAAGCATATACTGTTTTAAAAAATACAGAGAATCCATTAAAAGTCTAAATAGTTGGCTTCCAAGGAAGAAAATATTTATATAACTCTTTCCCTGTCTACTTGTGTGTTTGTCTGTATTTGAGGAGCTGCTATTCCAGCAATGGGCATTTAAGTAAATATCTTTAGATTTTGGAGTTCAGTTTACTTTTCATAGCAACGTTTTGGCCTTTCAGCTCATATAATCATATCCATATTCCTAAACTCTTCACTATTTTCCCATTAATTTTATAAACACATTTGCTATAGCTGATAGAGCTTTTTATGCACGTCAACATTATCTCCAGCTGTGCTGGCCAGTGTAGAATTGTCTGTATTTCTTGTCATTTCGTTGTGAGGATTTTGATTTTGTACCCAGACTATATTCATAGTGAGGTTAATGCTTGGCTCTGTGCACATAAATTGAGGCTACTAAGAGGAAGATGAAACAAAATGTGTTCAGATCTATGTGCAACCACCTTGCATCAGCATCATATCCCTCAGCATCTACTTGAGATACTAATTTTTCTGAATTTCTGTAAAAAGAGGAGTACTTCTCAGTCAGGGAGAAGCATGGGCCATAACGTACATTTTTATGTCTTTTAAAAGTCTCCTGACTGACATTTTTTCAGGCTTGTTGATTAAGGCTACTTACTTTATCTAAAAACTTGTTTCTGAACTGCAACTGCTTCTGTTGTCCAGGAAAGGAGCAGGGATTAGATGTTGCTGAGGTTTTCATTGCTACTCCTTCCCTCCTCCCCTAGCCCCTATCTTTCTTAATCAGGAACAACTTGGTATGGGAAGTCCAGCTTTTGGACAAGTGCATGCAAGCTTTACCTCCTGCAATTGAGCACTTAGAGTAGCTTGCATACTTGGTATGTAGCAAAATATACACTGATAAACACCAATACTAAATGTGGAAACCATATGAAGGTGCCCACATTTGATAATGGAGCTTTTTTAGGGGGCAAGCAAGGGATTTCTTCATGTCTCTGAAGCAAAGCCAGCACTCAGCACGTGATGGTAGCAGAGGCAGCAGCAGGAGATAGAAGTGCCATGGTGGTTGTCTTGCTGCTCTTCAAAGGAGAACTGTTCCCTAGGCTGTTGAGTCTGGTTTACTTCTAGTTAAGTACACACCATGCAGGAGACTTGGGAGAAGACACCAACAACCACATTATTTGGATGGTACTGCAGACCACATAAGTGGTGGTGTTGGAGCCAGCCCTGCGAAGAGCTGCCTGCCTTGTGTCCCGCTGGCCAGTGGTTCATTACTGATCCCCACAGCTGTATTTAGCAGGAGCACATGGTGGGCTTCTGCTGCAGTGAGGGCAGAGTTAAAAATAACTTCAATATGTGTTTGCTTGGCATTGCACACCTCAGGATGGAAGTTTCCAGCATCAGAAAAATCCTCGTTTGACTGTGTTTCATCACTTGGCAAGTTCCTAAACATGTTTAACTTTTCCCCTGCCTTTTGAATAGAGCCCTGAAGTACTAGATTGACATGTTTCCCTTTGAGGTAGCCATTATTTGGCATATGTACTTGTGTTTTGGTCAGAAACATGTCCCTGAGCCTCAAAAGACGCACGGCATGTGACGTATGACCGCTTGCCCCAAGGGAAGCAAAGCATGGGCTCCATGGGCTGAAGTTCTTATCCAGGGCTGCAGAGCTGCCTTGAGACTGCGAAGCACTTGAGCGCAATGGCAAGCAAGGCTGCGAGTGAACATAACCTGTTTTGCTCACTTTCAAATGAGAGCTGTAGCCTGCCTGCAGATGATTATAGCCATCTGTTGGGCTTGGGCATGGGTGCATGAAACCCGTGGTTGCACCAGCCACGTAGGCGCACAGCGCTGTGCCAGCCGCATCCACATCAGAGGATGATGGTGGTAATTAGGAGCTCAGCTTTCTGGCCTTCCTTCCTTTCTCTCTTCAGCTGAAGTGCCAAGTACGGGACGGCTTGTCTGTGAAAGGAAAAGCCTTCAAAATTTTAAAAACAGTGCAAAATGGAAGAAGTTGTATCTTTCCTGACACCATTGTCTATAAGTGTCCTTATCCACTTGATTCATTACACTTAACACTCAGCTATCTGTCCTTTTAAAGGTCTATTCAGTTATTCATACATTGATTTTAAATCTGTTTATGTTGGTTTTTTCTTAACAGCATGTTCTGTGCTAGTTTGTTAAGTCATCTAATTACTGCATGTTTTTCTCCCTCTAAGTCATGAAGGTTCCCTGAGGGAACTAGTTGATGTTTCTGCTGCAGTCTAAATCAATAGCATAATGAACTGTCGGGGATTTTTCAAATTCTGTTTGCAGACAGAGACTTTTTAGTATCTAGGTCAGTTGCTGTCTGTGACTTTGCCTAGGTTTTTGCTCTCTTTTTTTTCTGAGTAAAATAGCACTCATTTCAGACCTTGCACAGTTTCCTCTGTGCCACATCCTTACAGTGGTCAGCCAGAAGTG